ACCGCGACTGGGGCGCTACCCCAGCTTCCCGGGAGCAGGAGGAGCGGACCCAGGGTAAGGGCGGGCGGGGGAGGACGTCCGCGGCTGTGGAGGAGAGTGGAGGGTGAAGGCGGGAGGCCGGGGGCGTCCCTCGGGGGTGGCCCTGCCGAGAGGCGGATGCCAGGAATAGCGCTCTTAGGGTGCCCGCTCCGTTGGTCCTCGCTGCCCTCAATACCTCCGAGTCGCAGGGCCCTACAAGTTCTAAACGCCTTGCCTCCGTACCCTCCACTCCCGGTCAGCTGGTCCTGAGACCATCTGCCTGCTGGGGGCCGGGGGGAGACCAAAGGGTTTACAGCTGAATGGAGGGGACATACAGCCTGGGCTGGGGTGGCAGGAGGCTGGGCAGACGCAGAGGAGAGCTTGCTGATGAGAACGGAGGGGAGGGAACGTACAGTGACTGGGCGCCTATGGGTGGCAGGTGCTGTAAATGCACCACATCAGCTATTCACCGCTTTAGAGCCGGGTCCTGGCTCGGTCCGTCTGGACTTAAGTACCGTGACCTTTGACCAGGTACTTAACCTCTCCCGGCGTCAGTTTCTTCACCTGTAGAATGAGAATTGTGGTAACTGTTTGGGGGGCTGTGCTGGGGGTTCACAGCGCCTGGGACCCAGTGGGTCTTAATAGATTCGGGATCCGAGCCCTTTATCGGGTATGTGATTTGCAAGTACTTTCTTCAAGTCTGTGTCTTGTCTTCGTGCTGTCTTTTGAAGGGCAAACGTTTTCATTCCTAACGAAGTCCAAGTTATTGTTTGTTTTTTCTTTTATGGACCATGCTTTTGATGCCGTATTTAAGAAATCTTATCCAAAAAAGCTTATCTTAATCAGGGTCACGATGATTTCCCTCTATGGTCTCCCACTGTAGTGATAGAGCTTTTGCTCTCTCGTTTATGCCTGGGATCCCTTTTGAGTTCGTTGGTGAGTGTGGTGTGAGGTAGGGGTCTGCGATCCTTCTTTTGCAGGTGAAGGTCCAGTTATCCAGGCACCATTTTCGTGCTCTGCTAGCTTGTGAGGTGCGTTGGTAATTTTACCAAAAGTCAGTTGACCGTAAATAGAAAGGTTTTTATTTCTGAATTCTCAGTTTCATTCCATTGATACAAATATGTCTGTCCTTATGCTAGTACAACGCTGTCTTGATTAGAGTTTCAACAATGTTTGCTGAATAAGTGAAATAATGAAACTATAATCAAAACAAGTAGAAAGCATACAGTTGGCACTCATAAAACCTGCAAATTCCTAGGAAAATCTAGATAATTAGATTTTTTTAAAAAAATAGACTCATTTTGGGTGCCCCAGAAAGCATTTGTGGGCACAAACTCTGGTACAAAGTTGCTTGGGAAAGTGAATTACTACTGTTGCATTTCTGTTGCAATTTTTTTACATCTGTTTCTTAAGTTTAAATATTTGTCTAT